TCCCATATCGATTCGATTTGTTTACTTTCATCTACACAGTCTAGCGATTAGATATTAGTTTCCACTCAAGCATAAACTTGAATGAGATCAGGTTCCCTAAGAATTCTCTCGAAATACATGACTCTCACTAATGATAATTAATTCTGGTATGTTATCATATGATAAACACTATATCATCAGATGATTGTACCATCCCTAATGATGAAACTAGAATGTTATCGGAACATACAAGGTGATTAAGTTTTGATAACTAGTAGCTATACTCCATGGGAATCGAATCAACTCGATGACTGTGTTTCGCGAACATAATAAGCTCCGCAGGTAACACAAACCTCTCCGCGAGATCTCAGAGAGATCAACATCAGGATCATATGCGAATTCCTATCGTAAGGTAATAAAGATAGCTATGTGCTGTAACTGAGCGAATTTGTTCTTGAAGTCCCATGTAGAAATCTTCCAAAACCTCACCTTTCAGTTATCGATTTCATTTCCACAACGAATTCTCAAAGTTATTACGAAGTTAACCTGAATCAGCAATTGTTACAACGTAATCTGAACAAGAAATTCTTGTTGCGAGTTCTTGAAGCTATCACGTAAACAAAAACAGAATAGTAGGATGAAACCCGTTGAGGAAGGACGAGAATATGACATTAATTGAAGAAAAAACAATTCACGGGCGATCTGAGGTCGGGAAGTGGAAGGATATGTAGTTTGAGGAAAAAAACGGTGTATCTCGATTTCTGGCAAAACCAGAAGTCCTATGGAGAAAATATTAAATGACAAAGTTGTAGGTAATAAAGAGACCCACATCTTTTGACAAACGTCTACAAACACCGGAGGCTCACTGAATCCGACGATGTCCGATCATGGTCGGACGTCACCGCTGATGCACGCGCCAAATTTAAGAACATAATAATAATCCATGAGTATGAGTGATCGAGTGTATATAATGTTTTGGAAAAATAATAATAATAATAATAATAATAATAATAATAATATTTATTCAATATATATGTATATATATAATACAATTTCAATAAGTATAACAATTACAAATACAATAAGTATTACCTACAACAAGGTTTGAACATCAGTGAATAAATATTGATAATCTACTAAAAGTCTTAGGACTTGTTCGTAGATGCATGTGCATTCAAAACTTCGAATTGAAAGAGAGAATTATTCATAGATATAAGTGTATCTGCGTATAGTATAATAATTAATTAGAATATTGAAAGGACAAGCAGTTCTCCTCTAAAAGAAAAACTTGTACGTGGAGACCGCTCATCCAACTAGATTCTGTGGGGTACCTACTCAAATAGTTTGTTCTTATTGTTATAATGAATGAGAATAGAATCAGTAATGAATTGATTAGTGGTTAACCAGATTATGTATATTATATTCTCTAGGGTTTGTATGCAACCATGCTTTCAGTTTGTTTTTGAATAAATTCATTGTTCTTATTGACTTTAAATTCTCTGGTAAGTGATTATAAAACTTCGGGCTTAGATATACAAGAGATCTTTGAAATATCGTTTTTTCAGCTTTTGGTACTGAAACTGAATTACATCGGTATCTTGTCTTATATTGATGGGTAATCTCAAACAGTTCCGATTTGCGGGTATGTTGTCTAACTAAAACTGAATAGAAATATAGTTGCTTGAGATCAAACAAGTTTGATTCGTGAAATAGTTGTTCTGTTGGGTAGGTTTGACATTTTTTCATTATTATTTTTATAATATATTTTTGTACAGTTTGTAGGCTGTGCATATGGGTGTCTGTTGTTCCCCCCCATGCTATTATTCCATATGACAAGTGACTTTCTACAAGTGAATAGTACAAAATTTTTAGCTGGTTAGTATCGAGTATTCCTACCAGATATTTGAACTTTGGTAATAAACTCCTGATTTTGTTAGTGACATACTGTGTTTGTTTATTCCATTTCAAGTGGCTGTCAATATATATACCCAAATATTTGATATTTTCAGCTGATTGGATGTAGGTTGGTATATTATTTATTCTCACAGTAAGTACATTATAATCTGGTAAATGGTTTTTATAGGAAGCGAATGGGACATAATGAGTTTTCTCAAAGTTAACAGTGAGTAGTTTGGATGCAAACCATTCGGCGATTTTCGTAAAATCTCTCTCAGCTTTACTTTTCAACATAGTCCAACTTTGCTCCTGGTACAGAACAACTGTGTCATCAGCAAAACCCATTATGTCACCTTCTGTATCCAAACTGAAGAGATTATTGATGTAGATATTGAAAAATATGGGACCCAATACCGTTCCTTGGGGGACTCCATATTCTACTACTTCGTAATCGCTGTATACATCTCCGATTTTTACACACTGATTACGATTTGTGAGATAGTTTTCCAATAGTCTCAGTGGAGTACCGCGAATGCCAACCTGCTCGAACGTTTGGAGAAGTTGAATATGGCTGACAGTATCAAAGGCTTTGGCCAGGTCGACAAAGACACAAAGAGTCGGTTTTTTATCGTTCAATGCATTATATAGTTTTGTTGTTAATTCACCGATTGCGTCTTGTGTCGACCGGGCTTGTCTGAAACCATATTGCCTATTTGAAATAATGTTGAACCTGTCTAAAAAGTTAACTAATCTTTGTTTTAATACTTTCTCGAAAATTTTTGCAATGTTTGAAATTAGGGATATTGGTCGATAATTAGCCATATCCAACTTACTTCCTTTTTTATATAGGGGTTTTATGACAGCTGTTTTCAGTTCATTTGGAAATTTTCCTGTTTCAAACGACTTATTTATGAGATGAGTAATTGGTTTCGCGATCTCATTAACAATAAGTTTCAAGGTTTCGGACTTGATTCCATCTAGTCCTGGCGATTTATTGTTTTTCAGTGAGTGTATTATTGTAATTATCTCTTCTTCTGTGGTACCTCGCAGAAAAAAAGAGTTAGGAATGCGTTGTTCTTTGAATTTTCTGTTGTTGTTTTGTTGGATTTTACTTGCGAGGTTTTTTCCGATATTTGTGAAAAATTTAATGAACTCTTGTGAGATTTGCTTCGAATTGGTTAATGTATCTTCATTCTCATTTTTTATTTTCTCAATGATTCCTCCTTTTTTTGTTTTTGAGCTACATATTTCTTTAACGCACATCCAAAGGCCTTTGGAATTATTTTTTGCTCCAGTTATTTTGCGTTGAAAATATGTCCTTTTTGTTTCTTTGATGATTGCAGTTAGTCTGTTGCGATATATTCTAAAATTATTTTCATTATTTGCGGTTGGTTGATTCTTCATAATTTTGAACAGTCGATTTTTTTCTATAGTAGAATTAATAAGTCCTTTGGTGATCCAAGGCTTTCGCATTTTTTCATTGTTTTTTAGTTTAACCATATTAGTAGATTTGTCGATGTAAGTTTTTAGTTTTTTAACAAAGCTGGTATAACTCGCGTTAATTTCGTTACAACTATACATGTCTTGCCAGTCTTCTGTTCTTAGCATAGAGACTAGCTTGTTTTCATTAAGATAATATTTATGATTTGATGGGTGGGTTTTTTGTTGGAGTTTTTCAGAAAATGATAGCTTGAGGACAATAGGGTAATGATCAGTTATTCGTTTGTGAAGCACTATAGGAATGTAGTCCACGTTTAGATTATTATTTTTTATGAAGAAGTGATCTATACAAGTTTCAGTATTGCCTTCCACTCTAGTTGGTTCATTTATTGCTGATAAAAATCCATTCTCTGCCATATTATTCAGATAAGTTTCAGTTTCTTCTGACTCTTCTGTGATGCGGATATTCATATCTCCTACGATAATGTGCATATTGATTTCGTTGTCGCAAACTGTTTGATATGTTTTCAAATCTGTTATGAATGAGTCTATGCAAATGCAGGTGATCTATAAATACTTGTGATAAGGAATGTTTTGTTATATTTAACGATTTTTTCCGTCGACCTCGTATTAACGACTAAGTTTAATGTATATGAAATCGTTCATTAATGACCCCTATTAATGAACGATTTGTCTATTAATGTACGATTGTTTTATAGGCAACCAAACATACACCGCGTGCATTCATTGTTTATGCTATAACTTACGGAATCTGCATTTAAATCGAAAATATGGATTTCATTGAAGATTTTCTTTTAACGGGTTCACCTTTCCAAGTTTCTGACACGATTTTAATTCCTGTTTTCTAACACAAAGAATTTACTTTCTATGTTGATCATTTCGACAAATGTCAAATGTCACTAATGTCAGTGACAAGGCTACTGGGTGATTCTTAGTAGTTTCCGGATGAACGCTGAATTCGCGAACCAAGTTTTCTTCATTGCAGGAGAAATGAGAAATATAGTCGACGGAAAAATTTTGTAACCAACTTGTATATTAAAAGGCGATTAATGATCTCGAACATTAACGCGCTCGCTTCGCTCGCACGTTAAAATATCTCGATCATTAATCGCCCTCATTAATAAACTAGTTGGTTAAATAACTATTGTTTCAATTGCCTTGACTTGCCCGATACTCAAAATACGTTTTTCAAATTCTAATGTCTCTTTTATATACACTACCACACCATCGTTCTGATTGAGATTCCCTTCATTATAGAGTAATATGTAGTTAGTCAAATTGAATAGACTAGTATCAGCGATGCCCCACGTTTCAGTTAGTATGATTAGGTCGAAGTCATTTTCCATTTCGCTTAAAGTAATTAGCAGCTCATCAAAGTTTTTATTAATGCTTCTTATATTCATATGAAAAATCTTGAAGTCTTCGAATTCATCATTTTCATTGATAAGCTTTTTGTATGTTCTGGTATTTTCCGCTATGTATGTTTTGATAGATTCAATTTCAAAATTATTGATATAATCATCCATTTCATTTGATTTGTGTATTACCTAATGTTCATGAATTAATATTGCATCATTTTATTATAGTAACATGCAAATAGAAATAGAAAATTGGAACAATAATCGCGGAAAATCTAGACAATAAGCGATATCGAGAAACAAATATCACGATCTATTCATTGAGCCTGGTCCAGTTCGGCTTCTTGTGAGTTTATGTCCAACGGGTAGGATGTCTTTGTCTTGCTTCTTACCTCTGATAGAGGTGTTTGGTACCTCAGGAATAGGTGTTGCACTGTTTGGTTTTGCTACTATCTCTTCGTTTGTATCAGATTTTTCAAGTTCTTCTGGTGAATATGATGTGTTGTCTACCACGAGTTTGTTTCTTCTAATGAAACAATTACTATTCTTATCATTCAAACGAGCGAGAGTAAGATGTTTCCTCAATAATTGTCCGTCCTGTCTCTGCTTTAGAGTGAGATCATTCGCGATCCTGATATTTGTACCCTTGAGTTTGCTGCAATTCTTTAGGATTTTGCTTTTGATAAAATTATTTACGAATTCGATTTTCAGTGGACGGTTTTCGCCTATTCCTATGGTATAGAGGTCGCTTATCTCTGATTGATTTACTCTGACGTCAAGTAATTCTTCAAGTTCGCTACAGATGAATTCTGGTGTTATTTCATCACTAGCTTTCTGCAGGCCGAATACTATTAGATTCTTTCTTTTAGCCTCCCTCTCGAGATACTCTACTTTATCTTTCAAAATTTTGTTTTCCAATTCAAGCTTATTTATTTTATCATTGGCTTCTTCTAATTTCAATAGCAACCTCGCCTCACTTGCTTCAATAGAATTCTTGAGTTCGTTCCTAGTCTTGATGATTTCATCAAGAATCAGTTTGTTGGTAACTGTAGCTGCATTATCTGGCATTTTCAGAGAACCGAAGTGTATGGTTCGCTTTACTTGCTTACCGATAAGCAGTTTTTGTGATGAGAATCGCACTGATAAGGAATTGATTTCGCTGGTACCAAATGAAGAATAGTTGATTCCGTTTTCGTTAATCTCACTTATGGCTTATGGCATAAATTTCAGCAGTTTTATGTGCGGATTTAATATGTGTACTCTTGATTGATGATACATGCAGTTTTTGAAATTTGTTTGTAGCTTTTAACCTTCTTCTAGAACTGTTTATTTGTTAAGGTTAAGATGGCTACAAGGACTGGTGCGTCAAGTCCCTATCTTAGAGCGTGTCCAAGACATGACGACCAAATCGGCAACCAGCCACCTTGATATCACAAAATTACAATTAAATGAGAATGCTTCCCAAAACTGTCACGGGGCGGCGGGTGCGCCACTATCGATGATGATTTGAATGCAAATTACACAGTTGCCGGTTCGAGAAAATAATCCGATATAGTGAGAATTTCATAGTACTTTGCAATATACAAAACATGTCATCGGTAACAATTTGAAACTGTCTTTTTATGCCTGTGGAATCATTGGCGTGTTGTAATTTTTATGTACATGTTACCGCGAAAACCTGATTTCAGTCTGAACTAGATTTACTGCAAAAACTAGTTTAGACATTTATAGTCTTGGTTTGTTGAAATCAGAAATTGACTTGAAACTAGGAAGAATTCTGACTCAGGCCATCATTGCTTCCCCTGAACTATGCATGAGGAATGGTTTCACGCACCATATCGAATCAACCGTAGTTTACACTACGAAAATCTACCTTTGACGAAAAACGAGCTCTAAAGGCAACTCATGTAATCTTTTCACACGTTTATCATGTTTTATTGGTTCGCCATTTCACATTGAAACGAAGATCATTTCATTGAACTCAATTGGCAAGGTGATCGACCGTTGAGGGCCATCATAGGTCCAAGGTATATATTTCTTTTGGGACCATGCAACCATCTAGAAAACAGATGATTTCGCAGTTTCTGGAGAGGTTTTTTGATTTATAGTTTATAAATTAATAGAAAATTTAGTCGGTAGTTAAAACATGAAGTTCAAGTCCTGTAGTCGAGAGAGGCAAGAAGAGAAAATTAACATGATTTGTAGAATGGATGTACATAAAATATGAATATAATGAATATTATGAAACAAATAACAAAAATGACCTTGAATTTCATCTCAAACTGGTTCAAATATGCCCGCCAGATGTCGTATCGGAATCGTCACCTTGCCAATTTAGTAACCTAACGTCGTGAGACGTGTCGTTCAAATACCTTTCTGATATGCAGTGGAGGTAGTTTATCGGATTCATGAGTAGTTTGCAATGCAATTAATTCCACTACAGATTTACGAAGGCACGGCACAGGTTACATTCTAGTTGAAACATGAGTCGAATAATAAGAGAATAGGTACATAAAATTTTTATATTTTATTTAACATTTTATAAACTTGAATACAGCAGATCATTCCATTTAGATATGTGTGCACATATATATTCTATTCCAATAATGAATGCTAGTCAAATCGTTTATCTAGCCTAGGGTTCCTTGATCCAACTGACGTATTTGTCATCTAACAAGATTACAAATACGTCAATCAATGATCTAATAATATATAGAGTATATATTATTAGATCATTGACGTCAATTCACATCAAGGGACCCTATTCTTGCAGTACGAATTCTAACCTACCTGAAGCGTGCCACCGTGTTATTTATAAGGATGCAATGCTACAAATAATCCGTATGTTCGAATTCTGTTCTCCACCGTGCATTCTTGCAAGTTACGAAAAATTGAGGACAAAATGCAATAAAGAAAAGAACAAAACAAGTATAGGTGCGTTTTTTATTCCAACATTTTGTCATGCTTATGAATCGAAGAAACCATGGACATGCATGAAACTGTTGTAATAAAATGCATGCATACTTTCAAATCTCTTTGCGCTAACCCAGCGGTTTGGGAGAGACTGACATGACAATTGACACATTGTAAGTATTGTTCTTCGTTTCAATTTGATAGAAAACAAAAAATATTGAGGATTTTTCAGATTTCAGAAGATGTAGTTATTGCTAATCAATAAAATCTATATAAAATCGTATCAGCCTCTTCTGATTCTGAAAATACATGACAGACCAACACACAACAAAATCTGTTTTTCCATCAAAGCGTTGTATATTCCATCGCTCCAGCATAGATTCCATCAACAATTGGTGACGTCACGACAAAAAAGCGCATCTATCAGTGCGCACTTTTTTCGATGGTATGAAAAACACGATCAATGAAACTTTACCAAATGTCGAAGTGGCAACGCTGGCGTACGTCAATTAAAATGGCGGATTGGCACTAGTGGCAGGTCACGGCCGCGATTTTACAAATGTTTCCAAGATTGTTTTGATTGTGTATATTATTTATTTACTTGGTATTATAATCATATTTCAACAAGAAGACATTTTTTATGAGATGAATGACCTTTTTTATCGATTTTGGACAACACGAAGCAGTTCAACAGCAACACATAGGTGCTGGAACAAAATTTGACGAAAAATTTCAATGTTTCACGATTAACAAGTAAGTACATATACTTCGAAGATTTATCACATCGATGGATATCTTCCCTCCATAACTTTTTTACATAATATATAAATGTTGAGGTGTTGTTCATGTTTCAACCTTGAATGTTATAATTCTATCTGAGAATCAATTATTAGTTGATCAAATACATATTAGGTTTTATAGGTGTTATTTCACATTCATAGTGAATGTTTCAGATACAGCTGGTAGAAATCTTCAGACTAAGGAAACTAACCATTTAATAGTACCTTACCTTACATACAACATACAATATGAAGTGGATTATCAACTTTATACTGCAAGATTGAGGGAAATATATTATGGAAGAATCAAGATTGAAGTTCAAGTGAACAAAGTAAGTTTAATTTTATTGATCTGTTCTCCTTTAAACTTTTTCCAGTCTCACTAGTCATGATTGTCTCCATGCAAAGTGATCACAGAATGAAAGTATTGATAATCATATTGTGCATTACCATTACGCTAATCTTAGTGCAGAGCTTGGTGTCATGTTAGGCCTTGGGACTTGGATATTTACAATTTAATTTGAAGAATAGCATATTTTTATGATTTTCCATGAGGTTTTTGAAGTTTCAGTTTATTTTCAGTTATTTCCTCCCTACTAAGGTGCATATATTGATATTGAGAATTTGCACAGACTTTAGATTGGATTTTTCATAAACTCTCACAAGATTCTTGAACATATTGGTCATGTTAGTCTATTAGAAGCATAATTTTTAAGCTTTACATGCAGTCATGATTTAGAAGTTTCACAGTTTTAAACTCAATTTATCTGGTAAATGGTGATTGCAAATGAAACAAATGGAGAGTTCAAGTCTAAATGTTGAAACTTTTATATTCCCTGGTCAAACTGCTGAAAATTGCATAAATGAAAATGTGTGAAAAAGTGCACCAAAATATTCTCAACATTTTCAATTTAAAAAGGTAGGTACACAGCATCTCCCAATGTGATTCTCATCAAATTTTTACCAGTTTGAATAATCATGGATATGATCAGTTCTTCTGAAACAAACATAATTTTGGACAATGCCCTGGGTTTTTATTATAATGAAAATGGGTCAGTTTCTCATGAATTCATATTAGGAATTTTTTCCTCATAATATTCTTCATGGTTTCAAATCCCTATATGCAAATTTCCATATGACATCTATGGAGGGTTTCCAAAAACACAGGCACATTTAAATAGCATGTTTTTGAGGGTGAATAATTATTTACTGGGAAACGGCGAGTTTAACAAAAAAAAGTTTAACTTGTTTCTTTTTCCAAACCACAATTTTCTACTTACCAAAACTAGTGAATGTTCGAAAAATTTTCTGTTAATTTGAATTCATCATATTTTCGTGGCAGAAAATGAAAGAAAATTAGGACAATCCTGTTAATTCAGGATGAGGAGATTCTTCACATGTGGAGATTCAAAAGCATGAGGAACGATGATATGAAGTGAGTTTTCCTGATAAAAAATTCCTTACATAATTTCATATAGAATCTACCCATTTATTTGTTCAATGAAAACACACTACACTGTCAAAAATTATGCTCATCTCTGAAAAACTGATCATATAAGTATACAGGGTGGGCCACCAGTAACGCCTTGGTCTCTAGAAGGCTAACCACTTATCTTCTTGGAATTCTTCCTCTCTAGGAAGTTGCATGTCAACATAGGCTACCATTTGAAATCATTTTGAAACATACAGGATGTCCCCAAAAATCACAAAACACTGAAGTTGAACTTTTTTCTATCGAACACCCTGTATATTATTTCATTTTGAGATTCTCCCTGATGAGCTGATTTGAACGACCCATCATACTTGGGGTCTAGCAGTTATGATTACTGAAATGTAGGGTGTGAAAAATCGAGATTTTCCAAGTTCAAGAATTTTTTGTGCCGAAACTATTCATAATTGGTCAAAACGGCTTACATGTCCCTATCTCAACTTTCGATTAACTATCTACTGATATTTAATTGGGACATATACCGGGTGATCAAGATTCTGAATTCTGCACCACCCTGTATTTGTTTAAATTAAATGTCAGTAGATAGTTGATCAAAAGTTGAGATAGGGATATGTGAACCGTTTTGACCAATTATGAATGGTTTAGACACAAAAAATTCTTGAACTTGGAAAATCTCGATTTCTCACACCCTATATCTCAGTAATTATCACTGCTAGACCCCAAGTATGATGGGTCGTTGAAATCAGCTCATCAGGGAGAATCTCAAAATGAAATAATATATAGGGTGTTCGATAGAAAAAAGTTCAACTTCAGTGTTTTGTGATTTTTGGGGACATCCTGTATGTTTCAAAATAATTTCAAATGGAAGCCTATGTTGACATGCAACTTCCTAGTGAGGAAGAATTCCAAGAAGATAAGTGGTTATCCTTCTAGAGACCGAGGCGTTACTGGTGGCCCACCCTGTATATGTAATTTCGGGACACCCTGTATAATCAGTTTTCCATAAAGTTTTGATGAAAGTTGTTAACAAAGAAACATATTGAATATGAAATGTCAATAAAACTGGCTCAAATGGAATTAAAAGTGAAAATAATATGAATCTCATGATTTAATTTTCTATAATAAATGTGGAACATTTCACTGAACAATATCAGATAGTTGTCTGATTTTGTAGCATCTATTTCAACCCTATGTTACCCTAAACCCTATTATCAAAATATTAGAAAAATTCATTCCTGAGCTCAAAGTTTTAATTTTGATTATTTTTAGAGGGTGGGAAAGGGATTCTACAAAAACAGACAACTATCTGATCTTGTTCAGTGAAGCGTTTTCGATTTATTATAGAAGGTTGATTCATGAAATTTATATTATTTCCATTTCTAATTCGATTTGAGGGAGTTTTATCTTCAAGCGTGTCTCTACGGCCTGCCGGTGTTGATCTCATTCCTTGCTGGATGATGTCGCATTGTTGTTTTCATACTGGTACTGTTGATGCATGCTGTCAAGAATTACTTATTTGATGAAATGTTACAGAATTCTTCAAGTGTTTATGTCGGTTGATGTACTTCCAAGGACTTTAGTAATATTTGACTTTGTGAAAATGATATATCAATGTAATTTTGCCATTTTACCAGAATATCTTGAACTATTTTCACTTTTCCTTTTTTTGTTCTCTTGAGCAACATAATATGCTGAATCGACATAAAACATATGTTTTGATTATATACCTGGTGAAAATATTTTTATGCATTTGACAGCCTAATAATTTTGTTGGAGAAAAATTCGATAATTTATGGAGGATTGTTGATAATGCATTTCTAGTGAGTTTGTCTTCAAATACACTAGAAATAGCTTTTTCAACTTCCTTGGGAATGCTAATAATGCTTTCTGAAGGAAAAGTTGAAAATCCTCTACTCTTGTTTTTGATGTAGCTATTGAATATTTCATTTTCCTGTCCAGTTATACTCTGTTTGCAGAGTATACTATCTTTGGTGCTTTTAATTTTTTTTGTGACATAGCCACAAAAATATGCAAAGGCCTCCTCAACTTCCACAAACTCTTCTTCCATTTCTGAAATCCCTTCATTCAATTGTACATCAAATACATATCTTTTTTTTTTGTGGTTTCAGCTCTCCAACTTGAGGCAGTGACTTTATCATTTCACCATCAGTGACATTACTTCCATGAGGTGGTTCGATTAGTGAATGAAGAGACATCAGTCTGAATATATACCCAACTTGAACAGATTCTGGATCAGAATTACTACCACCTGCTGTTCCCATCATACCAAAAAAAAATTGGAACTTGAAAATTATGTTATGATTTCATGAAACCCTCAAACATACTACACTAGAAACCAATATTTGATCAGTACACTGGATTCATCTTTCAACCAGCAGGGTACATTGGGAAGTGGAAGCTTCTTGAAAATACTGATTAGTGTATATTTTCTCTTCAATATCAATGTGACAATGACTGGAAAATAAAATTGGGATTAATGAAATAAATCAGACAATATTTCTCAACTGTTTTTTATTTAAGTATTGTATGCAGTGTTACAGAACATATGAAAATGTACAAAGGAATAATTAAATTGCCATATTTTTGAATATTCACTCATTGCAGTCAATAATAATTGTGACACTTGGCAATAACAAAGCACTTTCAGAATATTACTATAATATTTACATTATTTTGAATCCTTTTCTACTTTTTCTTCTTATATCAATTTCTCCTAAGTCATAATTTATCAAGTTCATGGGTATAAGTTTGTATTCTGATAACGAATTTTACTACTCTGAGATGTCATCACTAAAATAAAATAATTGTTAATACAGTTCAGATATGTTGGACTCAGTCATTTTATATTTAAAATAGGTTCAAAACAGTTTCAAAGTAATGAAAGATTGAATTATCTGAAAACTGCTACATTGAACATCATACAAAAGATAGAATAATTTATCCAGAAATATTTATGCAATTGACACCTTAAGTAGGTATATTTTAATGCAACTAATTAACTCAGTACAAAAAATCCTGTAGATATGAAATAAAACATTGAACCTAATTAATGTGAAGAAATATAACATAATTATGTTATTAAACAACCTATTTCATGAATAAAAAATATAGTACTCAATAAAAGTATAGGTACTCACTATTTTGATGGAAGAGATTGGCGTCTCAGTTGTAGGGCACCAATGGAATCTTGAGAGAAATGATCTGAACATACCCATCCACAATAAGGTGGCAAAAGTTTCCCAATTGGGGATATCCACTGAGCAGGAATAAATATTTTCGTCCTAAGGGAAGATTTCCGTTCATATATAATTCATTAAGTATAACCAGTATATGATTCCAATTGAAATGATGAACATCATCAAAGGGATTGATCAATGCTTGTGGAATTCTTATATGTCCCAAGTAGATTTCAATCATCTTCATCCAAATCAGTTGGATTCGCTAACTACTGATAACATAGAAACGATACCTTAGGGATTCCGAAGAGCGACGTGAAACTATGTATGATTGTCAACAAACTATGCAAAATTCCATTTTTTTCTGGTCTTTAACACTATGAATTCAAAACACAACTGGAATACACTGGTAACAAACAACCAGGAATCGAACAACGAGAAACGGAAAGAAAACACAACAAATAATAACACGAATAAATTACTAGAGAACACTGGATAACTCGAACAATGAAATACACAACAAATAGCACTAAATGAGAAAATAATTGGTCAACGACAATAAAATTATTATTCAAAATCTGAAAGATTTTTCTTTCAAAGTTGTCACCTATCAAAGTTGAATCCTGCCATGTTGACAACGGAATCCTTCTTTCCGACCACCAAAATAATCATCCGTTCTACCAACCTTGACTCTTAACGCCATCTATAAATAAATAGAGAACTACTCTTATCCCCTCCAAAACGGGTCGTCACCTTTGCTCCAGAAACAATTGAAGAGTCGACCCACCAGTCCTTGTAGCCATCTTAGTTAAGGTACTCACGTGAATGCTCACTGCTAAAGCTGACCACACATGCAAATGATGCAAAGTATTTTATTCTTTCAGAATTTACCTTGAGAAACAAATTATTGCGAGAGCTAAACATTGCAAAGGCCCTTACATGTTTTTTTTTCATATCAGTACAAAATTGACAAAATAAACACAACTTATTCACTTATTAATTTATTGTTTTTGGTGGATACATTAGATTTATTGCGATATTATCGGCGTCCATATCATCTGGATGGATTAATTTATTACTAAGTCGTTTATTAGAAACAGCTTTTTTGGTTGTTCGATATAAACGTCTCAGTTGAAATTTTTTTTTATTTTGATTCGTTTTAGAAGGTAACTTGTCGGAAAATGCCATATACCGGGTGGCTACGGAAGTATCGCCTACAGAATATCTCAGTTATTGTATGAAGTAGGTTTGTGAAATTTGGAGCGTCGATATAATGACATAAAAGCTAGAATTTGAGAATATTGACATGTCGAAGTTAACTTCCGGTCTGACCGGAAGTAACATCAACTTTCTTATTTTAAATGGAAACCCTATTTTTTATTCTTATCGCTTTATTCAGCATTCAATTCCCTTTCTAATGACATATCATAACCAGGAAGTAGATCAGAAAAAAATTATTATTGAAATTCACCGAGTAGGCCGTGGAAGCAAAATGAAAGCCAAAAATTGAAAAGTTGGCTATGGAAACCATTCGTCACTTGATGACAGTTGCTATTACTGTGATATTTTATTTTCATTCGTCGGCGTTATAAAAAGCCGCCAAAAAAAATATTGGAAAAATTAGGAAAAAAACAATACTCTGTAGGAACATAACTTGAATAGGAACATACAACTTTTTCTTGCCTGTACTATTCAGCATAACCATTCCTTTCTGATGATATGATAGAAAGTCATTTTTTGAAATGAAATACCAAAAAATCCAATTATTATTCTTCAAATAACAAAAAAAAATTTGATATTGAGTCGAAATAAGATGGAAAAAGGAATATTTCAAACAAAAAAAATTACAGTGTCTTTAGGAACATAAAAAGGTAAGTTTTCATCGAATTTAGTGAGAAAATTTTTTTTGCATAAGAAAAATAAAAAACCAAAAACTTGATTATTTGAATTTTTCACAAAAATTTTGCGGTTATGTGATGAAAAAGTTATCCCAAAAGTTGTAGGTCCCTCTATCACCTACAACTTTGCTATTCAACTTTTTTCCATATGGCCCGTATTTTTCCCGGAAATCAAGATAAACAGTTTTTTACCCTTGAAAACCCACCCCCTACCCCTTCCCGACCTCAAATCGCCCGTAATTTATTTTCCCTTTCATCTTTGTTATATTCATCTTCTTTTTCGATGATGTCAATACCGAACTCAACTTATGAATGAAAAACATCTCGTTGTCTTTGTCTCACCTCCCTCCTGCAATCCTCGATGGTTCTCTTCCTGGTGCGACAACCGCCGTTCCAGCTCCTCGTGGGCACAGGACAGGGCTCCAGCGAGCCTACCATTCCCGGGGGCGGCCGATGCACCCGCCAATAGGCTCGCTCTTGTGAGTCCGCCACCAGCTTGTCGGCTTTCTTCAGGCCCTTCGAGGCTTTCACCTGAAAAACGTGGAAAAACATTGTAACCTAATTTCCTGATTAGGATTAATTTCAATCATATATATATTGGATCTTTCTTTTATTTTATTCAGACCAGGGAAGAGTCCCTCTTATCCTGATATCTATACACTACACTGTTTTACCACTAACCAAACCGATTTTTTAACGCCTCGACACGTGTTTCGCTAACTATGTTAGCATCTTCAGGAGAAGATTAAAACTAAATATCCTATTCTACTGTGCTGCATATATACTAGGTATAGCACAGTAGAATAGGATATTTAGTTTTAATCTTCTCCTGAAGATGCTAACATAGTTAGCGAAACACGTGTCGAGGCGTTAAAAAATCGGTTTGGTTAGTGGTAAAACAGTGTAGTGTATTATCGTGCCAAAGGTTCCAGTCTTTGATATACCTGATATCTATAATGGAACAAAATTTAAACGGTATTGAAGTTTGATGCGAACAGCCCTTCTGCCCCAAATAAGACATATATTCTAAGAATTGAAAGAGATCGAACGGAAAAAATTGATATCAAAAACTTGAGAATAGTAAATTTGGTCATAATGTCGATATTTTCTCTAGTTCATGGACAATCTTGGTCTTTTGAACTTTGATTTATCACCTGGGTTATAATCAACTGCATTTCGAAGAAGCAGATTCTCATGAACCTCATCTTTTTCGAAAGTCTTGATGTTTCGTTCTTTAATGACTGACACGATTGAAGGGAGTTTCAGATCCCTGGCGATCTGGTTATTCCGAACATACCAAGGAGATCCTGTCACCATTCTCGCGATTTTGTTTTGTAATGTTTGTAATCTGGTGATATGAGATTTAGCTGTGTGGCCCCAGACTACTGAGGCATACAGTAAAATTGGCCTGATAGCCATGATATAAATATTCAATTTTTGTCTCAAACCCAATTTACTTCGTCTGTTTAGAAATGGATACAGAGCTCCAATGGCCCGTTTAGCTTTAGAAACTTGCTGTTCAATGTGCTGGGCCCAGGTGAGCTTTTTGTAAATGCACACACCTAAGTATTCAACTTGTGAAGACCACTCTAACTCATGACCATCCAGGACTATTCTGGTTCTGGGAGGCCTCCGCCTCCTTCCGAGTGCGACCAATTGTGTTTTTTAGGATTCAATTTGATCTTCCATCTCAGGAAGTACTCCTGAAGAGAATTCAGTGCGCTTTGGAGGTTCATAGCTGCTTGCTCGAAATTTGTCGAATATGCAAGAACTGCCGTATCATCAGCAAAAAGCGACATCTTGCACATCACTGGTCTTGGCAAATCGCTAGTATATAAACTGTACAACAGCGGAGATAAATCTGCACCCTGAGGAACACCAGCTTCAATGGGCTTTCAATCATATAGAATTAAGAAAGAATAAGTCACCCTTGTGCGAACGGCTGCTTTTTGCCAGAGAAGAGTTGATATGGATTCGAGGTTGTTATTCGAGTTTTGGACGCCATCATTCAATTTGATAATAGACTAGTTAATCCAGTGGATAGAGGAGGTTCATCTCACAAACTGTCCGTAAGTTCTGAATTTTTGATATGTTATTCAGAATGGTTATGGAGTGTTCGAGAAGCAAAATTCACAACTTCCCCTCCTCCGCGCCCACTGCCATATTGAAAAAACCTAAAAAAATCGGAACTTCCTCCAGATTTTCGCTTATATTATCGTTATGGTACATTTTAGCTACAAAAGAGTCCCATTAAGTTTTGTCGGGGAATACATTTTCTATAATTCACGTTCTGAATTTTGATCCTAGGACTGATAAAAACGGAGATATGCACTTGAAGAAAATAAAAAAATCGCATTTTCCAGAAATTTGTCAAACTTCTCCCTTTAGAACGCTGTAGTTCACTTATGGCATGTTCTGGGGAAACAAGTATCGGAAGATTTGTAGGGAATTAAATTACCTACAGGAAAGCATGTACAATTTCTTTCAGCAACCCTACGGAATGTGGGGTGAAAATAAAAGTTAAAACAACGGCATATTGCTAACGATTTTCCAGTTTCAGCTCGAATTTGGAATTTATACTAATCCCACTTTGAATTTTTACATGACACAGCGCGATGCTTGGGATGCAGGTACTATTTCAATTGATTACCTACCTGATGGGAAGGGATGTTCAATTTCAAAATAAATTTTCCAAAGATTCATTTATTCAAACAAAGTAATAGACAGTTATAATTAAACTAATTCGGTAGTAATCGAAATGAGAACTGTGAAGGAAACATTCACATGCGCTCCGCTCGTTTCGTAGGGGGTGAGTTATTCAAGTCTGTGTCTTCATCTTCATCAAATTGTGAAGTAGTTACTAGATCGGCATCGTCTTCATTGTCGACGATGACTTCATCCCTGTTATTGCATTCTTGGCCAGCACAGAATTTGCTAAGTGCGGAACAATATAGGCCCGCCTTCCTACAGCCACACGCTCCCATACAGCCATCTGCATGAGATGGTCTTGAGCAGATTTGGGGGAGCAGCGTCTCTACTCATCCTGATTGGGCTCCAGTCTTCCAGCTTTTCTACACCAACCCCACTCGATAGGGTCATCCACTCCATGACCTGGTGGTATGTCCTCAGGAAGTGGAAATGTGTGGAGTCAGTGGTCGGAAATAGTCTAGCCAGATTGAGTTTGGTGGTACTCGTTTTCAATCTGCTATAGTGAAGGGACGATTGTTCTTCACTGCAGCAGGGTCTTCGAACCTCTCCGCTTGCTCTAGCAATGATAGGTCTTTCCTAGAAAGTTGGCAGAATTCATTCTTTCGGAACTCAAAAATGTGAGAAGTGATGTCGCAGCCCGATATTGCGTGCAGGAGCAAAATACAGCCTTTGGAGTTGTACTTGTAGGAGGAGGCAAAGTAGATTGCGTCTGGATGTTTCCCTTTCGCTAGTTTTCTGAGGTAGACATTGTTCACCGCAGGTGTTCTGCCAGTCAGTAGGACGAGTAGGTCAATGTCTTCTCCGACAATGATGACGGCGTCGTACGTGGGGGACAAACATCTGACTGTGGCAACTATCAACCTGTCAGCATCTTCGGAAGCTTGGTCTGTTGCTATATTTGACGCTTGCATTCCATTGTAGAGCAGCTTCACAAATCGGTCCTTGTTCCCCTCATTGGCCAGGAATTTATCCTGAGGTACGATGTTGACAGTGGTTTTGTCAAACACCACGGATTTTTTTAGATACAATGTGGAGTCAAAATAGCCAAAGAAAGCAATATGTCCCCTTCTCTGTAGGGTTGGTTGAAAACATATATTTGTGTTTTGTAAATTCTCTACGAATTTTATTCGTGAATCGATTCACGAAATTGAGATTCTAGGTTTATCACCATCTGTTAGTGGAACATTAAACCACTTTGAGAATTACAGGTGTTGCGATAGTTTACAGAATCTGACATGGATGTCTTTTGTATAAGCATATAGACGTAGGGGTCTATATGCACGACTTACTCGCAAGGTATGATTGATGAATCTACCTATACACCTTTGCAAACAAGCCACTAGACGGATATGAAGGCTAGATCGTCCTTCTGCCTCCTCAGGGCTTCGACAAATATTTATAACTGATGGTAAGCAAAAAATACTTTAAAACTATGCTTCCTGAAAATTTCGAGATGGGCAGACAATAGAATGAAACAAATGTGTATTCCTGCAACCTATTTATTACACCCAAGCCAGACAAGGCATATTCAGACCACTTTAGAGGTCGTCCTACCACATACTTCAAACTAGGTAGGATCTCTCAAGAAGCCAAAGTCTCTCCAAGTCCACTATTCCCCCACCCTTAACACCGACAGCTCACGAAACAACAAAAATCCGAGAGAAAAATATTTCCTCGCATCCTATCGGTCGAGATAAGGGCTGAGGACCAAAGACAAAAGAATCTCTCATTCTCCTTCTTCGCTTTCGCAAGACCATGATGTGAATAGACAATAAAGGTAGATGACTGTATCTTCCTCTTCTCCTTCTTTCTCAGCGAGTCACGAAGACTATTGATGTTGACGACGACCGGAGCACCACGCTAGAACAAGAATAGGACATACCTAACCAACAAAAGAATCCTAGAAAATTAAAGAAAACAAATAATTTCGAACGACTTCAGCTGAAATTGCAAGAACCTCTAGAATCTCCAATGGCACTAACACCCCGTGGAACACCACAGGTGAGTTAACTGTTCTACCTCAAGACAGAGTAAGTCTCTATTTATTATCTCCCTCGATTTTCAAGACCTGTTCATTGGATCAGAGAACAAAGCCGAAGCTGAAATCATCACTTCCTACAGGTATATACAGTAAACTATGGGCGTAGTAAACGTTACGCCGCTCGTGCAGTGGGAGTTTATGAAGCAACTGCTCGTAGAGCAATCCGCAAGTACGAACAAACAGACAGCACCGCTCGGAGGGTCGGTTCTGGTCGCCCCCGAAAAACTTCCCCAAGAGATGATCGCTTCTTGAGATCGCGGATTTTACGGAATCGATCAAATACTGCGGTAAATGTTTAGCAAGATCTTCGCCAAATTCGTGATGTTGCAGTAAGTAAGCAGACGGTATGTAGACGTCTAAGAGAAGTTAATTTTAAAGCTAGGAGACCTGTAAAAGGTCCCAAATTATTGCCCGAACATCGTGCTGCTAGAAGAAATTTTGTTGAAAATTATGGACAGTGGAATATTCCTGAATGGTCGAATGTCTTGTTCACGGACGAGTCAAGGTTTTGCCTTAACATGGTGGATGGAAGAAAAAGAGTGTGCAGAAGAACTGGTGAACGGTTTAATCAAAATTTAATAACAGAATGCGGAAGTTTTAATAGTGGGTCCTTTATAGTGTGGGGAGGGATTTCAATGAATGGAAAGACACCCCTCCATGTTTTTCCGGTGAGGCAGTCGATGAATGCCCAAATTAACATTGATATTTTAGAGCAGTATGTCTCACTTTATGCAGAGTTAGTGGGCAATAATTTTATATTGATGCAGGATAATGCCCGACCACACACCGCAGCAATAGTGCGAAACTTCTTAGGAGCTACTGGTAATACTGGACATTACAATGTCATGCGAGAAGCCCCGATATGAATCCTAAAGAACATTTGTGGGATGAATTAGGGATAAGGATACGTTCTCGCGAGAGGTCTCGGAAAGTCTCGCAGAAACGGCAGATGCATTAGTGGAAGAAAGGGATCGTATACCAATGGAAACGATAAGCAACTCAATTTCCAGTATGCCTCGTAGAATAGAAGTTCTTAGAGTTGCTAGAGGAGGCGATACACGGTATTTAGCAGTCATCCCAATTTATAATTTTGTGTTTAATAAAAATTTCTCTTCAAACTATTGGTATCAGTTTATTCCATTACAAAATTGTTTCTCGATAAATTCAGAAAGTTGGTAATCTGCAAGGATTCAGCAAAAAAGCTGTAATTCGGAAAATTTTGAAGATGAATCAATGGATAAAAAAACAAAATGCTCGCAAAAGAAGCCTCTTTTGTATAGGATGTAAGCACTTTCCATGCCATTACTCAATTAACACACAGAGTGAGTCAAAAAATAAGAATAAATCATGGTTCGAGTTATTCCACCACCATCAAGGAGGCTTTGAAAAAATGTCCACCTCTTTATTTCTCTTCAAAGACAAATGCATTACCTACCAACAAATGAATAAAAAATGAAAATCGGCTTACTATTGTTTTTTTTTAAGAAGATAGGTCAAATATCAAGTGCGTCACTTTTTTTGGAACTGAGTGTAGTCACATAAATCATTTAGTTAGTCCCTAAAGTCCTCATTTTCTACAATCCAAAAATCGTGCGGAGAAGTAACTTTGCAGCACTAGTGCGGTACATAACTTTTCTGCACCATTTTATCGATTTATCGTGCGAAAAAGTGAAAATCTTCGGCTATAAAACGAGATTGCTCTTGTTTTACTTTGTTCAATACATCAATGAGGTACTTTGTATGTCATCAATTTTATTTCCGTATCTGATATCACAATGACTCCATTGTGTTATTTCATCAAGAAAGTCTCATCGCTCATGGAATGCTGATTTCCTACTAGAATGATTGCAGCATTCGCCTACAACACAATATACTATTCCTGACGCTCTTAGGAAAAAAATACTACAATTTTTCTGTCACTACCAGCTACTCTAATAGAAGGCATCACTTCCGAACTGTGGTCGGTCCTACGCACATGCAAGTTTGTTTCCCCATTCAGAGAAAAGCAATGAAAATTGATCATTGAAAACCTTATCGACAGACAAAAAAGATCATTGTGAAATACGAAGTTCGAAAACACATTTATTGTTAATTTAGGAATGAAATTGCCCCGGTTTCTTCCTGAAAACATGTTTTGCTTTCAGCGCCATCAGAGCTGATATTGATAACTGAAAAGTTTTCCTCCCTAACTGGAAATTTCACGACTGATAGACCCCTTTGATGATACAATATTTCCATTATGAAGTTAATTGAAATCAAATTGGTTACATGTGATAGCAACCGTATTCAATCATGTTATTACGTGTAGTTCGGAAATATTGGTAACCTGATATTGTATTCTGTGCCTGTTTCAAAATCACTCGGGGTGCCCACATATTATAGGTTATGAAATTTGAATGAGGGAAAAGCAGAGGTGTACCATAGTCGAAGATTTCACTAAGATAATATTAGGCAGCAGATTTGTAGAAATATTAGAAGGCTGATTGATTATTTAGATAATATAAGAATGCGTTTGGGACGTGATACAGAATAGAAATTCTTCTAGCTGAAGTTCGCTTTCATGGATTTTCACATGGGATTATACTCCAAGGCTATCACTGGACCACCATATGAACATGATTTATTATCAATATTGATATATTAAGTACTTCCATACTTGGTTCCTCTAGTTTCTATTTTCTACTCATCGGATGCATACAATTATTTGGACTACTTTATATGGCACAAAATTTCACCTTACTTTGTTATTCTGAGCATAATAAACCTCTGACTTCTATTTGTTCAAATATTCTTCATCCGTTTTTGCGAATATGTTCGATAAACCAGGCAACTGACTTTAGGGCTATCCAGCAAAATTTTGGGATTCTGACTTTGGCACTGACCTCACGTTTTAGTAGCGCCAACTGGTGAGAGTGGGAATGTTAGCCCTTATTTACATCGAACATCATATCAACACGTGCTGTTTATCAAATTCGATGTTTTCATCGTTCCATTTCCTAATCTGGAGACTCTTTAAATGCCAGCCAGTGATGATGTTCTGTTAAAAGACATCGACTATCAATCAACGAGATCATGACATCAAATATTATCTGAATGTGAGCAAAGGACCTATTCATATCAAATATTGCATACTCATGTTCAACAGTAGTAGACCCATGGGGTTTTCGAACCACATTGGTGAAAACCTGTTGAGCTACTAAATCATGACCTTGAGTCGTAACACACAACACATATTTGATAGGGAACTCTCATAGCTCTACTAGTATCGTCCTCAAAGAGAAGAAGAGTTTCTAACTACCCAGTAAACACAAACATCCCTGGGATGTCACATTCATGCCTCGCTAGGTAACAATGCGAGTTACAACAAAACATCATTGGTATTACCAGGAGACTCTTTATTTCACAAAACATTCGCAATATTCCTCACATTTTATTAAATTTGAGACCTGAAATGTTGGTGAATTTATGAGTTTCCCTAACAACCAAGCGACTCACTGAAACCTCACATCCTTGTCTATTTATGTAACGAACGGAATAAATCAATTTTGATGTTGAATGAGGAATCGCATAATACGTACTGTGATTTTCATTTGGCATCATAATGTGAATCATAAAATGACCAAAAGGGTCCGAAATAGCAGTCATTGTGATTTCACTAGGCCTCTCATTTCGAGTCACAGATGTGATGTGTGGCATGAATGTGATGCCCTCTTACATCTCTGGGATCAATCTGTGTTAACTGGGTAGTAACGACTCAATTAATTACTGTTTACAATGATATCTAGGCTGAAAATGCTTCATCTGATTGTATCATTGAGGTTCCAAGATGACCTCTCCTATTTTGTGCATTTCGGCATATTGGTCAAGAGTTATTAAAAAGAGATCCAACTCAACCTCAAATATCAAGTTGGAAATGTTGAAAATGAATTGACCACTGAATAAATAACAATGGTGAGACAAAACTACTGATGGAAACGATTATCTATACTACGGATCTTAATATTGATCGTTATGGTAATTGATATACTTATCCTTCCTCATTTTGTTGTAGTGACTGTTATATTGATAATTGCTCTACTGACCTGTTCTTCCGCTTGTATCATGATGAAATCCCATTTGTTGGCCAGATTTTTCTTCAGGTTACTAAGCGACTCCAGTTCGTATTCTTCCAGTCCATGCCGCTGTTTATTCCTCAACGTTCTTTTCGCTAGATATATTGCATATTCTACATTGTCAGGTGATCTGTTTTGCCAAGGCCAATAATAGGGATTCTGGAATCATCACAATGATCGATTAGCATATTTTTCATATATCTCGATCTTCACAAAATTTCATAATCACGTTTTCAGTAAAAACATAATCGGCAATTCTAATGCTAACAAACGGAGGTTCTACAATATTGAATATTCAGAAACGACAATGTGAGATCAAAATTCATGAATTCATGAACATACATGGCAAAATGGGGAATAGATTCTGAAGGACAGGTTTTTGGTAAACGAGAAAATGTGACTCACTAAACTAAACTACTAGTCATTGATTCTGCACAGTAAAAGGGTTGATGATGATAAAGTGTTCATGGTTTATTTCCATGTAATATGTTAGTGTCAATTTGATTCCTATCCAATCAGGCCTAACTACAGAAAATATATTTTCAAACCTTTCCCAAGTGTGCCCTTACGACTCACTAGACGAGGGAAATTATGGAGGTGTGGCCTTCAGTAACTACAGAGTGGAGACTTCGACTGGAATGAATTCGCAAACGGAGATGAATATTTTTCTAAAAATGGTAGTTGACACCACTTTCAAGATTTTTGTAATGCAATCCGCTTCTACGTTGGATTCGTCTTTCCATCAGTTTTCTAAAAAACATTTTGAAGGTGTTTTCCGGCTATGACTGGCATATCTAGAAGAAATATTCACTTCCACGCTAGCGACTTCATTCCAGTTCGAGCCTATAATCATATTGACTTAGTTTCAGAGGTACCTCATTCTCCTACATCTGAAGTTAGCCAATAGTGTGTGACTGATAGAATCTGTGTAATATTAATAAAATAATATCTTCTGGAATATTGAAATTTGAGATTTGGGTATGGAATCAAATTGTACCAATAACATATTTTTTCTGAAAAAGGTTAGGTTAGAATTGACTACTATGAGATCGAAGTTGAAAATTTCAATCCATTTCTATTATGTATGCTTCTTCTGGAATACAATTTATAGATTGTTTCTCCTTCACTGTGCAAGGGTCAATGTATGAAATTTCATTATCTCATCAAAAATAGTTTTGAATATATTCAGGTGAGATTATTGTTTATCTATCTTTCTAATTCATTGAAGGCCAGGTACCCGCGTAGTGGCAGCGTCAGTATTCTATTCACGTTGGATAGCCGGTTCGATGCGTTCGAACAAAACGACTACAGTCATTTTTTGGATGGCCTAAGAGAGTGTTTGGAATCACACGTTAAAAGGTAAGGCCTTCATAGATACAATTATAGAACAATTTTTAAAACAATAATAATACTATAATCATTCTATAAAACTTTGATTTCTTAGTATCGATGGACCACTGATTACCAAACTGATTATTGAACTCTTTTTCATTCCAAACTTGAAATTGAACATAAATAAAAGTAGGTAAGATAAAGGATTTTACCTGAAATCTGTACAATGAGCTATCGTCTTTAACTACTAGGTTCTTTGAGTCACTTATGGGGAAGAAGTAGCCGTACTGACATAATTGATTAGCAATGTTGAGCGCCTCTGTAAAAACAAATGATTCAGTGTGATGAAGAATATTCAGATATTTCAAATTACTCTACCAGATTCTTCGATTCCAAGGCGCTCCATTAACCATTCAATTAGATCATAACCTGAAAAACAAGAAATATAAAATGAGTTGAGTTAGTATGATTTAGTAGGTTTATTTCATATATTATAACTATCTGAGGTTATGGAAACTTTTCTCAAAAAGTAATACATCAATAATCAACATGAGCTATCGAGAGGACAATATATTAATTCATTCAATATTTGGCAACTCAACACAATCCAACTATTGATATAAATACCTCAATTGACTATAAATGAATTAGGGGTATCTCGAATCTTTGTATTTTTTATTTAACATCAATAATGATGACGTTTTGTATGTATTCTATTCAACGCAATTTTTTATTTAAAACACAATTTTGCATTTCTCGGGAGCAAAAACCCTATATATTGAATTCCATTTCAAACCCATCGTATACCTTAATTTCATTAGTTCGAGAATTAATCGGTAGAATAATCAAACTGATAAGTTATTAGGATGATGAATCGAGCATCAGACAACGGTGGTCATGCAGTATTGTTTGGCATTTTATTAGATTTCATAGCCTATGTGAGGTCGACTGTGGGTCGACTTGGGTAATTCAAAAAAAATTCTCAGAACAAATTGAAATGTCAGCATTAGTGTTTTGGCATTCTGCTTCTTGCTCTCGGAAATTGAAAATTCACAATAGGCTAGAACTTATGATAATGATAATTCATTGATCTTTCTGATCACAAAGTAATATTGGACAGGTCAAATGAATCAAAATTCACACATATAACAAAAATATATAATAGAAAATTAACACATTTCACACAGAACAGTTAGAGACACTTTTGTTTGTTATGAAAAAATCAGAGATATTGTAAGAACAACCATGAATAAGATATTTTTTGAGATTCTTCTTGAACTCGTTGAGCTTTACATTCATAAATGAACAGATGATCGAGAAATTTCATCCCCTTATGAAGAGGGATCTTTTCATTTAGGCTAGTGCGGTTTTTAGTGAAACAGAAAGACTATCGAAAAAGCAACATGAAAATAAATGTTTTCTAGTTTTCACGGCAAAACGCAAATACACCATTTACGAATTGTATATTACACAGAACGACAGACTAGCACCTCGACACCTATTGATACATATTAGGGAATATTTCTCAGAAACCATAAACGGTTTACGGGTTTTGCCAGAGTGGCCAACTTGCGTATGAGAGGTCCGTGTGTGATCTTGATTAGCTCACGCACAGAGATTTACCTATTTTGCATCTCCTACTAAAGCAATATAAATACTGAGGTTCAGCTAGTATGAGAATTCGGGTCTGGCACGACGGACTACTGACCCATATGGCAGACTACGGGTACCCGATATCTATGATAAAGCTAATAGCCTCCTTTCTGCGGGGAAGGCGATACCAATGTGAAGCTGGCAACGAAATCTCTGCAAAGAGGGAGCTAGAAGCAGGAGTACCGCAAGGTGCGGTCCTTTCACCACTACTTCTCTCCATTCTCACCGCAGAAATCCCTAAACCCGCGAACAACTTCAACAAACTCGCACTATACGCCGACGACACAGCCATAATTGCCAGATCCAACAACGCAGACATGACAGTACGATACCTTCAAGAACAAATCGACACACTAGAAACCTGGTTTAACAACTGGAAAATAGAAATCAACGCAGAGAAAAGCCAACCTGTTGTCTTCACTAGACGACGTACCAAACTCACAGGACACGTAATACAAAACGACACACAGATACCATGGGCAGACGAGACAAAATATCTAGGGGTAACCCTAGATAACAAACTTACTTTCAGACAACACATCACAACACGACTAAACCTGGGTAAAGCCGCAAGGCAAAACATACAGCCTCTAATAAGTCGCCGAAGCAACATGGCTCTAGAGTTGAAGCTGCGTCTAATACGAACCATTCTACTTCCAATAATTTTGTATGCATCAATTGCATGGGGCCAATGCGCAGAAACATACAAAAAGCGAATACAGGCATTTCTAAATGTCTCAATAAGAATGGCAGTAAACGCCCCATGGTATATTCCAAATAGATTTATCTATAGGGAGCTGAACATAAACCCAGACTACAGAGACAACCACATAAGACAACACGCGGAGACTACATTCGGAAGAACGGAAACCCACGAAAATCCGCTACTGCACGACCTGACTAATAGACAACTAAATCTACACCCGCGCTTCGGAAGAATGAAGTACAAGCGCCTAATTCACCAAATATAAGATGAACTAACGAAATTAAATCAGCATCAATAACAGTTGCATAATAATCATCAGATAATGAAACAGAAGAGTCTCTTCTTTGAGTCCTTTGATACCCTATGAAAAAGTAAACCAATAATAATAATACATAAACTCAAATTTGCTTTCCATTAGGGTAGGGAACCACCACGCAAAGTCAGGCTAGGAAACACACATTAGACAAAAAGGTTTAAAAGTCGGAAGACTGAAACCAAGTAAGGGGTTTCATAAAACATGCAGATTGACAAATGCATAAGGTTGAAGTCCACTCGTTAGTGAGTGGGGGTGGATGGACATGGGGATAAGGAGCTATCATATAACGTAAGCTAGTTATACGGCGGCACTTGATCCTGGGCATTCAATCTTTTTTTTTATCGATTGGAGCGCACGAAAAGGAATCCCTATAATGTTCAAAGAACATCGTGCGTTCCTAGGGAGGATAGGGACAGGAGGTAAGTATTGGAATTTTTTTTTAATTTTTGGAGATTATATGTTGTTGGGAATACTTCCACAGGCAATGAATTCCAGAGCCTAGCCGTTCTATGGATGAAGTAGTCTTGATGAAGTGCTGTTCGACATCTTTCGAGGTTGACAACGAAAGGATGTGCTGACTGGGCTTGTCTAGTTCGTCTGATTGGTATTGCTAGTGAAGGGATGATAGCAGAGATTTCCGAAGAACATTTCCCGTGGAAGTATCGATAAAAAAGTGAAAGGTCGCCGACCTTTCTACGGTGTTCCAATGATGTCAAAGAGTGAGTGTGGCGTCACCTACCAGGCGAATGGCTCTTCTCTGGATGGAATCTAAGAGCATCAGCGTATGTTTTGGTGCTGAACCCCATATCCCCCATATCCCCCTTTCAGGGGGCATGGTGTGTGTGTGTATGAGAATTCATATTCGAACCTCCGAATTGAGAACACCATGTTACTTCACACATCATTTGTATTTTGAGACTATAAATGTTATTTTATCATTTTATTCCAAATTCAGATTTTCAAAATTCACTATAGAATCACATACATTCTTGCTAAATAGATATCGTGTAATATTCTTTTTAGTTCGCTTCCTAATCAGGGTCGCTGATTAGATTTTTATCCGACGCATGCCCGAGCGCTTCCTGTAATATTGTTTCCAGTTGGATTCCAAATCGGAGTCTCTGATTATTTATTACTCGGTGCCTATTCGGGCACCGCTTCATGGGATAGAGTTTTCAGTTGGCTCCCCAATCGGGGTCTCTCATTATTTTATTATTCAGCGTCAATTCGAGCGCTTCGTGTAAAATCGTCCCGAGTGTCCTTGATCAGGGTCTCTGATTATTTTATTATCCAACGCATGTCCAAGCGCTGCAAGTAATATTCTTTTCGAATGGCTCTCTAACCTTTGTCTCTGGGTATTTCATTACCCGACGTGTTTTCAAATCATCACACTCTAAATTGTCATTGAAGGAAGTTTCATTCTGAGCTCCATTATTCACGAAACGCTGAGTCAATAAAATGGAATCATCATGTCGCGTCGTAAATTGAGCTCTTCCTCCGGAGACACTCTTGAATTTGGGAGAGAGTCGTTACCTACAGTGTTTGTGCCTACAGGTATGCAGATTTTTATTATAACCATACTATGCCTGTATCAAATCATATCACACTCTTTCCTATGTGAATGTAGGAATCAGGCAGGGTCTGTCACATTATCGGAATAATTATGATAATGTCATTATGATAATAAGAGTACTCTTGAATTTGGGAGAGAGTCGTTACCTACAGTGTTTGTGTCTACAGGTAAGCAGATTTTTGTTATTACCATACTTTGCCTGTATCAAATTATATCACACTTGTTACATGTTTTTCACATCCTGTATATAATAGGGATTTCTAGATGTACATTATGACATGAGAACTGGAAGATATGAGGAGGATCGGTTGTTTTGTATATTACGATAGTTACTGTTATGATTGTAATAAACTTATTCAGATCCGAATTGGATTTTCATTCTCACTGAAGAGTTCATACTACATATGAAATAACACTCTTTCCTATGTAAATGTAGAAATCAGACAGGGTCTGTCACGTTATCGAAATGATCATAATAATGTCATTATAATAATAATAGTTATTTATGTATCAAGGGCGTAAAGTAGGCGTTCATGGCCTGTGGCGTGAATAATGGCCCGATGGCGCTAGCCGAGGGCCATTACACGCTGAAGGCTATAAACGCATTTTACGCACGTGATACATACAAAATTTTATGCACTAGTGGTTAATTTCCCGATTAACGAGTAATGACTAGATTTTAACAAACTACAATTCATATGTTACTCATGAATTCAGTTTTCAAGGGAAGCGCAATGTTTATGTGTATAATATACATATTAAAATTACCGTACGAATATCGCAATTATCGTAGGAGTAAACTCTTTCTTCACTAACAGAGATGTATTCCTTGAGATTTAACAATATGTATACCCAGTATATAGCTATACCTAAATTTGACGTTGTCAATCGATCTGATGGTTGCTGTCTAGCAGTACATCCAAAAAATAAGCTGAAATTGTCATCTTTTGGCTAAAAACTTCAGAAAGCCGGAAAGCAACTATTCAAAGAAGATAGCGAAGATGGAATCGGATGAACAATAACATGTATCATAATCATAACGATAGAATCAGCTTAGAGTTCAAATATTGG